CCAAAACAAGGTATTTGTGTTTCACAGAAGAGGAGAGACTTAATAAAAACTGGGCTTCTACTGAATAGGAAGCAATATATACAACTGCAACAATTTACTTATTGGCAGAATTTTAGAAATACAGGGTGGGGCAAAAATAGGTTTATTGTTGTGAGTACGTGAAACTCAACTTTTATTCTTGTATTATTACTTATTACTAGAGGCCTGGTGCATGAAATTCAGGCACAGGGGGTTGGAGGTGGGGGTGAAGTTGGGGGGGGGGTAACCCTCAGCCAAGCCTGCACCTCTCCACCCTGGGACCCCTCGGAGGAACACTTGGACAGCGCCTGCGGGGCTGAGGCGACTGGGGGACTCCAGCTGGATGAGGCAGGGCTGAGGGGCCTGGGAAACTCTGGCTGGATGAGGTGGGCCTGAGGGGACTGGGGGACTGAGGCTGGATGAGGCAGGGCTGAGGGGACTGGGCACTACCATCTTGTGGCTGTGGGCACTGCCATCTTGTGAGGGTGTTGCAGTCAATTAGTATATCCTCTCTTTATTGGTTTTGGGTGCCACCATCTTATGAGGGTGTGATGGTTAATTAGCACATTCCCTCTTTATTAGATAGGATTGTATGATTTTCCATACGAACAACTGTAAACCAACGTTGACCCACCCTGTATACTTTCTTTCCCAGAAAACATTAAGCCAGTTGGGCTACTGCATCTTCCCAAAATTACGTAAAATAGAAATGAGACTAGAAAATGCACATGAAAGAATATCAAGTTTCATACAACTAAATTATTTTTGCACAATGTTCTGCTTTTCTTCCTCTCCAGCAAAGCAAAACTTCCTGTGCCAAATTCTTCCATAAGCCCCTTAAGATTGTTCTTCAATGACAAGAACAAATGAGTGCTGTTAATGATTTTCAGATTGTAAGCAATAATTCTCATATAAAACAATTTTTTCCTTGAGATTTGCCAAACTTTTCCTCTCCAAAAAAATTGTATCCTTGCTCTAAGAATTATTTACTGGATCGTCTATCCAGGCTAATTTTTACTTTGAATGAGAACCAACAGAAGAGACAACTTTTCAAGAGATGATGAATTGAAAGCCAGGAAAACATTTTCTACTTTGTAGAATTGAATCCACATTGAATTATAGATAAATCTGGCAGTATCAAAGTAAAGAGTTTGTCAGTATATAAAACTCCACCTCCTTTTTTATGTTTCACAAAGAATGGTCAGTTTTGATCATAATTTTTAGGGGCAAACACCATTAATTTGGATCACATCTTTCATGTGAAGAAACATGCCATGAGTCTTTACCTTCTCTCTAGGAACAACAGATTGTTCTGGTTGATACATGTCTGTAAATGAACCTTTACAGACATAAGGGCTAAAGGGTAGCACTATGCAAATTCAGTGTGCTTGAAGAGGGCAGTGAAACAGAAACCACCAATTTCCATAATGAATGTTATCTTTCAAATGTCTTCAGAGCAAATTCTGTCCTATCAACCATACAGCATCTTGTAAATGTTGACATTTTTGGCAACTGTTTCTTATGAGGGGTAAACAAGACAAGTTAAATTAAAAAATTACGACCCTAATTCATTTTAAATTAGAACAAAATAAGAAATATTTTGTAAATATTGGCAGGATATAAATTATTGTTAAATCTTCATTCTTCAAAAACACTTTGGTACTGAAGATCAGGAATAAAAAAAGAACCAGCTGTCTATGATGTAAATAAATCAAGTAGTCACGGCTGTATAAGTTGAAAATGCTTCACATTTCCTTAAGAAAAACATATGTGTTTTGATAGGTAGAATACATTTAATTTCAAGATTTGGTATAAAATAAAACAAAATCATCACTATATTAATTATATTTTAATGCTGGAAATAAGCTAAACTGAGTCACAATGATTTATCTGAGAAATGTTTCGTTTTCCTTTCGCAAGTCTACCAAATATTTATGCCAAGAGTCGTACAATCACATCACAGCCTCAGGTGCTTCTCAAACTAGTAAAGTGTTGAATTATATATGAAGACTTCCAATACATAGAATTATATAGATATTAAAATGTATATTCTCTGAGCTCTTTGCCATTTCCCCCCTTTTGATTTTAAATTTTGGATAGCCCTCAGAAAGATGCATCTCAATCCAACAGAGAATATGAGTAGATGAGCAGGAGAAATCAGTAAAACCCCCAGATTTTTAGTGTGGGGGAGAAGTATAAACTACACCCTGATCACTGGTACATGAGGCTGGGAGATAAGTTGGGGATCTGGTTTGGAGGAAGGGGAAAGATGCTGACTTAGAGTTACTACAGTTATCTCATGCAATCAATATCTGAATATCTAAGATGCTATCAGGCCTCAGGAATTACATAGGCAGCGAGACATAAATGTCAGGTCTAGATCTGAGAGTCAGCAGGTGATATGTGGAAAAAGTCTGAATGAGACCACTCCAAACGAATATAAAGAATAAGAGAAAATGTACACCGAGATACCTCTAGAAGAACAGATTTAAGATAAAGGCAGAGAAAGAGGAGCCAATAAAACAAAAGTCAGAATACAGAAGGTAAACCAAGAGAGACAGGTGCTACAAGTGGAGAATTTCAAGAAGCAGAAATAACTAGTATCAACCTCACAAATTTAAGATGAGGTTTGAGAAATACTTATTAAATACTTCAACTTGGAAGTCAGTGGTGACATGAAAGCAGCAAGGAGGAATAGGGTGACTTTTTAATTGGCGTAGGCGTGAAGGAGAATTACATGGTGATAGTGAAAGGGAAGATTCTGAGCCAGGAGAACATACAAAACTAAAGAAAACTGAAGAGAAGAAGTCAATGTACACCAAACTGAAGATATAGGAAAGATAGCGTTTGGAGAAAGCAGGTATATTCTTTAATGGAAAACCTTTCCAGATTCCACTAAACCCCAACTATGCTTCTCTCTCTGTATACGCATCAGAGTACACGTATATGCACACACAGAGACAACTTCAAATCCTGCCTGTAGTCTTCATTGCGGAAAATATAAAACAAGGACTCTAAACTAGACATATGAGCACCAGAATTATTATTTTGCTATTTTATCCTTTTCAGTAGAAAACAATACTGACTTCCGTTTTTAAAAGATACAAATTATGGAATTTGAGAAATACATTTCAATGAGAAAAAAAAACAATCACAGAACAAGCAAATTGTAGAACAAGAGCTTAGCAGGTATAATTGAAAAGATGCTAGATCACACCTTCAGATTGAGGGTTTGTAGTAACTAGGTTTTAGGACTATAAGTCAGGTCAGCCATCTTCTGGACCTTTGTTTTCCAAAACGTAAAGAGATCACTGTGGTCCCATCCAGCCTTAAAAAGACCGGGATTCTGGTACTGTGTGTATTTCTAGGGAAAGAGAGCAGGGCTCAAAGAAGACAATTCAATGATGTGAAGAGTTGGTTCGGTGGTGCCATTTTGGAACTGAGGGTTGTCGATTTTCAGTTAAATGTTCTTTATGCTATGAAAAATTTAAGTTCTTATAAAGTTTGAATACACTGATGATATTTTTTAAATGCTCTATTCCTTCTCTCCCCAAAATCACATTTTCAAGACTGGCACAGCCAGGGCTACAGTAAAAAGGGGACACGTGCAGAATGTCTCTCCTAGTATCCAGCTTCGAGGCTCTCTGGTACAGTCATGCTCACGATGGCCCTGAGTCATTTATCAAAGAAACAGGACACACGATGCTGGTAGGTGGAGCCATTATCTACACTGTGTTTAGGGGTATTCTGCCTTCGACACTGGCTGCACAACATTCCCGATTCCACTGGAATCCTAGGAGGTCCCGAGGTTCTTCTGGGACAAACTAAGCCCGATGCCCTATCACAGCTCGATTTTGTCTTCCACGTCACAGTTCTGTAAAGGCATCAAAGATGACACTACAGCAGCTCCTGAACACGTAATAGGCTTTTCGATTTACTTTCAAAAACAGATATCGAAAAATCCGTATAAGTAGTTACATAAAAGACAGAGTGGAGATGGGAGAAAGAAGGATATTCGAAAGAAAGAAATGTTTATCATTTCATTATTCTCCATACAGGATCAAACCAACTTATTTTTTTGAAGGACAGTTTGAAACTTTTTATTTAAACATCTAAAAATTATTCATATTTTGTTGAAAATAATCTTATAATGTTATTGTTTAAATAATTCTTGGAATTTATAAACATTATAAAATATATAGTAAAGAGGTAAATCTTTAGTCAGGTGATTTATCAAATACAGATTTTCTTAGCACTAAAACTCAATTCCCCTAGCCAAACAGCTCATTTTATCCAGAAAAATAATAACACCAACATTTTTTTTTCTTTAAAAAAAAAAAAGATATTTTATTGATTTTTCACAAAGAGAGAGGGCAGAAAGCTAGAAACATCGATGAGAGAGAAACATTGACCAGCTGCCTCCTGCACATCTCCCACCAGGAATGTGCCTGCAACCAATGTACATGCATGCCCTTGACCGGAATTGAACTTGAGACCTTTCAGTCCGAAGATCGATGCTCTATCCACTGAGCCAAACCGGTTTCGGCAACACACCAACATTATTAAGATTACTTTTCAAAATACACCCTAAAGTATCTGCCAACTGTATAAAACATGAACTTATGATACTAAAAAATTCAATAAATTTCTCGGTCAGTTTCTTTAGTTAATGCTAAATATTGTTACAGCATTAAAGTTCCATTGCAAACTACTGTTTCATTCATTAAAAATATTACAAAATTGCTAAAATGTATTGTTTTACCAAATAGTCTATTTTTAAGAGAAAATGATAGCCAATGAAAAATCTTCAGGGCAAAGGCTAATTTAATATAAAAATACATTCCTTTAGTCAATCTCTTCAGCCTAATAATCCCAGAAATTTCTTTAAAGGTTACACTTTTACACTATCTTGAATTTCATATAATTACTGATTAGACAGAGCAACAACCAGGCATAATGAACACACGGTGATGTCAACTCACCTAAATAGGGAATGCAGGGTGTCATCTTTAAGCTACTTATATAGTCTCTGAGTCTTTTGTAGTTATCTTCTTTACTCATTACATATTCTAATTTTTCAAAGGTAGTTTTGTCTTTTCGACTTAGTAACTAAAAAACAAACGGAAAAGCCGGTTATTTCCAAATCCCATTTTATTATAGCAAAGACTTGAAGTTGTGTTATATTTACTGTAAATTTGAATTTAATTTCAAAGTTATACATTCTTTAATTATATTTTGGTAATACATAAATAATAAAATCAGACATGTACATAAAATCATTAAGTTAGTAAATTATAATACATTATTTTCATCTTTGCTATTTTAAATGGTTAAGCAATTTTTGTTGACAAGTTTTTCTTGACAAATTTAACTATGGCTACAATATTTGTAAACTGGTTTACATTTTTGGATTTTTGACTTTTTTTTTTTATCCCTTTGACCACTAGCTGTATCCACATAGTTGAATAATCAACTGAAACTGTTTTAAGAGGCTTGAGGGTAGATTTGTTGTGTATGCCCTTTGAAAAACATGAAGATAATCAAGGAGAATAAAAGAAAAGCAATGTCAGTCACCCAAATAATATCTACGCTGCCCTGAATATCAGCAAATAGTTTCTCCAATATCTGAGTCGATGCCACCTCTCTGGACTCATCTCCTCCCATCAACCACTCTCTAGCTTACTCCACTGTCAACACCGACACCCTGCTATCCTTTGAACATTATTGGGGCCTTTGTACTGGCTACCACCTGTGCTTGGAATTCTCTCCTCCCAGATATCCATGTGAATGGCTCTCTCAATTCCTCCAGGTCTCTCCCCAACGCTCACTTATCAGTCTCTTACAACATATTATATGAAATACTTCCCTGCTTCCCCTTCTGCCTCATTTACTCTACTTTGTTTTTCTTCAGAGCGTTCATCACTATGATACATCATTTATTTACTTACAGTTTATCTTTTCCCAGTAGACTATTAGTTATGTAAGAATGGGGCTGTCTATATCACTTACTGTTTTATGTTAAACAAATTATACAGTGCCTGGTACAATATGGAATATTTTAAAGTTTAATATACACACCAAAAATTTTATTTAGATTAATAATGGAGCTGTTATTTAATTTTAAAAAATCTTTCCCATGCAAATACATGAAGGAGAAAATAAAAATATCTTCAAGGAAAATGAAAATTAAAACTTGAGGAAAATGTAGCTCATTTCTTAACCACAATATAAATCAGAGTGTAATTCTTTTCCCTAAAAACTTCAAAGATGGAATTCATAACTGTACATTTATAATCATTTCCATTCCTCCATGAAATTCAAATTAAGAAAAGAGAATTAGGACATCATAATTTAAAAATAAATTTTAAAGGAGGAAAACCCTTAACTCAGGTGTTTCTAAAATATAAAGAGGGGTGTAAGTTCTTCCACACTAATGTTTTTCCAATATAGAAATCTACCCTGGATTTCACGAGTAACCTCTGTTTGCAGACACTATGAAAAGTGAAAGCGACACCAGGCTAATCCCTTTAACATTGAAGAACAGTATTAAATATGAACACACTTATTTAAATGAAACCCCCTAAAAGTTGACTAAAAATTAATGGAAACTAAGTATACTTTTTGAAACTTAAAATTTAGATTTTCATTAAACTTTTCAAAAGCATAGTTTTTACATGATTAAATGTATTTACACTTCCCATCAGTAAACATGAAAGTCTGTATTGTCTAGATGCTTATTAAAGACAAGCACCAAGTTGTAATTTATCTCAAAATTATTAGATAAGCCTCCTGAAACACTTGAGACATAAAAATGTAGGTTTCAAAGAACAGAAGACAAAGTGATTTAAAGATCCTTATCTATTATCATAACATTAACCTTACTAAGCACTACAAAAGAAACAAATACATCTTTACTTCCAATAGGAAATCCAACCTTTCATTAACTTAAGGAGGATTACTCACCGCCCATGTTTTGGTCAACCTAAAAATCGGGGCGCTCTGTAAGCCAGAAACCACTGCCATTAGTGCATGGAGGTTGTTTAGCTCGTACAGTTTCTGAAGATTTAAGAAAAAGGAAGAGGTGACAAAGAGCATTAATACAAAAAAATCTTTAGATGAACAAGTAAAATCTAGGTAATTGGTAGTGTCAATACTTTGCACCCTCACTGTTGAGATCTGTCTTACAGAACACCCCTATTTTACCCCTAAGTTGCTTTTGGCCCTCAATAGAAATTCTGTGTTTTAACCCGGCATTGCCCCCAAGCTCTGGGAACCAATTTTCTTTTTCTTAGGTAATATAATAACAAAAACAAAGATATGGCTCATATCAACTTCACCTGGTACGATCATGCACTCTGGTTCCCAGCAAGCAGTCTCCTTCTTTACGCTAAAATATTACTAAGCCTCTGTCCTAAGATCCAAGTTTCAAGTAAAGGATCCTGATTTGGTTTCCTACTCAATACCCCCATTATTCAGGGTTAGAGCTCAAACCTGCTTTTGACAGTCCTCCTCACTTCCCTGCCTCCTCCTGCCCGAATCCCCAGATCCAGGCTTCCTTGTTCATGCTTGGACATCCACCTGCTTCCCAGGATCAGAACTTGTTTTTACTTTTTACCTTACAGTCTCCTTGCAGACAACTTGTACCTAATAATAGCTTCTATCCATTTGCCAAAACATCTGCTCGACACTGTGATTATTCCCAGACGGCTTCATACTATGAGATGTTTACATCCCAAGAGCCTTATATAAAAATCAGTCATTTAAAATGGTTCTACGCCCTATCAAGTGACTCCAAGACAAAAAGCCTGTTCTGAACATTAGAACAAAGAGAAGAGAAGGGTCCTGTTTCTCTGAAGAATTCAGCCAGTATGCCACCTTAACCCAAAGAATTCCCATAAAGTTTCGAGAAATATAAACACAAGTAAAAAAAGGAAAAACACAAGGAAATAAGAACTCACAAATGGAGAACAACATCAGGTATGGCCTTCAAGTAAAATAAGATTAAATGTGAAGGCCCTATCCAGAATGCAACATAAAAGCCAATGAGTTTTAAAAATTCTTAAAGTTAAGGGACATGAAAGGTACAGCAAAAAAGCTAACATTTATCTCATTTGTTAGGAGATAGTAAAAAATAATGGGATAGAAACAATATTTGTGAGATAATGGCAGATTATTTTCCCAAATTACTAAAAGACAGTCATTCCTAAGGCCAGGAACTCATTAAAAGAACAATAACCTGTAAGTCTGAAATAGCATTTTTTCAAGAACAAGTGTGACAAAAAGGTGCTGTCAGGCAAAATAAAGAGAGCTTAAGAAAGAAGGATTTTTAAGAATGCTGCTGGAATTATTATTCATGGAAAATTATCAACTGGAATATGTAACTCATTCATATTACATATATTGAAACACCTTAAGAGAAAAAACTGAGGTTTCCTGAAGAAATTCTGCCTCCAAGCTGCAGCCTCAACTCCTGCCTCAGGTTCAGGGCTGTCTACTGCCCTACAGCTGTCACACTGCCAGCCCCAACCCCAACCCCAGGAGTCATTCTTTAAGTCATTTACACATTATATATTTATACACATTTATACATATTTCACTGCCTCCCGAGAACCCGAACTGAGACAACCTACTGAAAGAAGAGAAGACCTGCCAGCTTTGTAACAAACTTAATGTAAAAGTCAGAGAGTCAGAACAGATTTAAGAGACACGGGTGAGACAGAAAGTTATAAATTTAGGGCTGTGATAAATAAAAGCAAGCACCGTCAAACATAACTCAAAGTCTAAGAGTCTAAACTGGAACTAAATGCCTACTTGATGAGCAGGATAATGGCAGGTTTAATGGGCAAAAGTCGGTGATTTTAAGTAGAATATACAAGCACATTAAAAAACTAACAAAATTATGAGAAAACAATAATGCAAATTCATAATCTATGGAGAAAAGTCATGAATTTTTATAAGCTAAAACCCAATATTTACCTAACATACCACTATGAATGTTTTAAAAAATTTTATGACACTTCTGCAGAATATTAAATTTTAGAAGGCTAGTTCTGCCATCTAGTGCCACAAAATGTTAGAATCAATTCTTCTATGAGCTCAAGGAAAATAAGCAAGGTATGACTTACAATAATTGTAATTTTACAGTAATTACAAAACTTAAAAATATTAAAATGGTATACTTATTTAATTACATCTTCATTCATTAACAGGTGAGCTAAGTTATGTAATTATTACAAGAAGAATGATGTGGCTACAAGTGCACTACTTTTTAGTGAACTTAACATAAATTTAGAGTTGTTACAACTTTTTAGATTTTTTTTTTCAGAGAGGAGAGGGCGGGGGTGGGGGTGGGGGAGAAACAATGATTGGTTGCCTCTGGTTTATGCACCAATTTGGGATTGAACCTGTAACCTGAGCAAGTGCCCTGACCAGGAATAGAACCTGCTATCTTCTAGTGAATGGAATGATGCTCCAGCCAACAGCCACCTGACCAGGACATGGAGTTGTTACAAGTTTTAATAAAATCTTGGGATCTTCTTATGGAATGTTTGTTCCATTTCCTCTCTAAATTCTGTCTGTCCTTTAAATATATGTTTCATTTCTCTTGCTGCATTTATTACATATACCTCCCAATAACTACGCAATTAACATATTTGGTTAACACACTCATTTATACTATTTAAAAAAAAAAAATAAAGTCCTATTATTCCCCACATCTTTAGCAGAATGATCTATTTCAAAAACAACTAACTGCTACGCATTCTCCTATTTAATTCTACAAGGCTTTCTTAATCACTTGCAGTATTTATTAGTAAATACAGGACTTCACCATCATCTGACCTGTCTACTTATTCAGTCAAATAAATCATGTCATTCAGCTATTCTAAATGAGGGAGAAAAAGGTATGAAAGATATAAAAGATAGAGAAATAAAGAAAAAAGTGAAAAAAACAAACATCTAGTTTAAAAAATTGACTTGTTTGAATCAACAGGTCTTACTTTCCAGGATCAGTAAATAGTAAATAAAGTATCACAGGCAAATATTCACAAACATTACTGAGTGGTTGAACTAAAAAAATAGAAACACAAGTTTTTCTTACCTTTGCAGTTTTAATATAGTGGCTCAAAACTTCTGCCCTAATTTTTAATGTTTGAGCATGAAGAATCTCTCTAACAACCCAAAAGCTTACCTGTAAATAAAAATTAAAAATAGGTGAATGGCAATATTCTTTACTCACTAGGATCACAGTAATGACAAGAGCTACCTGAAGACTCAGCTAGAGCTTTCTCTCTCCCTTGACTCACCACCAGGACATAACTAATCTTCAAATATTGCATACATGTCACATATATATAGACAGATATAGATACACATATGTGTATATGTGTGCACACACATAAAAACTCCACTACTATTTTTAATTTGTAGAAGCTAATATAAATTTTGAAGGAAAAGAGCTGAGAGAGTGCAATAAAGCCAGCGTAATACAACGTGAACAAATACAAGTGTTTTTTGCTGTATTTTGAAAAACTTTGGCAGAATCGGGTAACCTCTTTGGATAATAACACAGAAATTATAAAATAAAACATTGCACTAGCTGGTTTGGCTTAGTGGATAAAGCCAAGGGCAGTCACTGTGGTTATAGGAGGCCCTGGTCGGGGTGCATGCCGAAGGATACCAATCAATGTATCTCTCTCACATAGATGTCTCTGTCTCTCCCTCTCCCTTTCTCTACAAATCAATAGGAAAATATCCTTGGATGAGGATTAACAACAAAAAATAATACAATAAAATGTTGAAAATCATTTAAGGACTTAAAAAATAAGAAAAAATGACACGAGGGTAAAACCACAGATTTAAAACAGATATGACACTTCTGAAGAGAATGAGTGAACTAAATTATAGGTCTGAGAAAAATCACACAGAATGAGCACAAGGGATAGGAAACAACATATGAAAGGTTAAGACAAGCAGGAAAAAGTGATAAATTCTAACAAATTTCTAATAGAAATTTGAAGAGATATGGCCTGAAAATGTCCCAGAACAGATGTAAAGTTAAACTATTTCTTTATAAAAAATTACATATTGAGGAATTATATTTCAGGAACTAAACATCAAAACTTTATAAGCAACTCACATGATTAAATCTTCTTGTGAAGGCAACTGCATTTGGTGCAGAACTATATTTTTCTTTTTTATTCCATCCACAACTTGAAAGCTCCTGAAAATTAAGTTGGAAATAAAACATAAATTCAAGAAATAGCTGGATTTTCCTGTCATATTAAGGCTTTCAAAATGTTAAAGACAGTTACATCCCTTCCCAGAGCTGTCTTATTTAGTAAGAACAGATATAACAAACATTATAACCATTCAGTAAAATCACAAAAGCAAATGCTATTAGCAGACGAGACAAGGGTGAACACAGATGACTTGAGTTCTGCTCTATAGGTAGGTTGATGGATCCTCCTCTGAAGAGGCTTGATTCTCCAGAGGAAAGATCCACAGATCGTGAAAGCTGAGCATCCCACAGCCCAAAGTATAACAGTTAAAAAATATTTTGATAAGTGTATTTTGATAGAATTTATTTCCTTTCATTTAAAAAAGTGTTCAGCCCTGGCTGAGTGTCTCAGTTGGTTGGAGCATCGTCCCATACACCAAAAGGTCTCGGGTTTGATTCCTGGTCTGGGAACATTCCTACATTTTGGATTTAGTCTCTGGTTGGGGCACATTGGGGAAGCAACCAAGCAATGTTTATCTCTGCCTTCCTCTCTTTCTAAAATCAATAAACATATCCTTGGGTGAGGATAAACATGAATGAATGAATGAATGAATGAATGAAAATAAAAAAGTGTTTAGTTCCACAGGCTTGTCTGAAGGGGTCCAACGTTCAAAATAAGAGCCCTGCTGGAACATGAAAGACCACCAGAAAGAAACCCAGAATCTATAGGAAGAAAAAAAGAACTCAGGAAACTGAGTTAGGGCAGGGAACAAAAGAAAACTGAGAAAAGAAAAAGACAAAACCATGTAATTGTTATTCTCAGATAGATAAGAATAAACATTGCTCCCATTAGAAAAACCAGGAGGATTTAAAAAAAATAAATAAATAACCAGAGGAAAAAAATAGAGCTTTTAGAAATGAAAAATAAAATTTGAAACACACACACACACACACACACACACACACACACACACACACACACACATATATGTACACACACACACACACACACACACACACACACAGAAGAATTGTGAGATAAAGTGATAAAATCTTTTAAACAGTAAGTTAAAAGTAGGAACAAAAATGTAATTAAAAGAGTCCATAAGAGTCAACATCTGAATAAGAAAAATGATTTTAAGAGAGAACAGAGAAAATGGAAACTTATACAAGAAAACTCATGAAAATGTTCTAGATCTTGAAGGACAAGAAAAGATGTGTCTAGGACCTATTACAATGAATTAAGAGGGGGAAAAAAGCCTCAAATGGAGGCCTAGCATCAAAAAAAATATAATATACTAGACACAAAATCATAAAATCTGTCAAATTAAAAAATAAAAGAAAAATATATCACATACAGAAAAACCAGGAATCAGGTGGTTATCAGATATCTCAAAAGCAACACTGGAAGCTAAAAAACCACTGAGACAATGCTATCAAATTCCTAGAATTCTAAATCCATAAAAATATACATTAAGTATGAAAGTATACTACAGACATTCTCAGACATTCAAGTCTCAGAATTTTCCTTCTATGCACCTATTCTCAGAATAGGTGCATAGAATGTGTTCCATTCTGTAGAATGTGTTCCATTAAAACAAACTATCAAATTAAACAGAAAAGAGATGGGATCCAGGAAACCAGAAGCCAACAGAGAAAGAAAATATTTGAAATCCCCCTGTTAACAGTAAAGGGAGATCCTGAACAAAAGCATTGAGCAGACCTTAAAAAACAACAGTCCAGACAGTAAGTACCAAGAGGACAGCGATTCTAAGAGACTTGAGTCTCTGAGAGAGGAAAGATATCTGAAGTGTTTAAATAGAGTGGACACACTCAATACATTTACTTATGGCAGAAAAATTAGTGAAAGTACAGAAAAACTAATAGAAGTTATTAGCTTAAGGAAAACAGAATTTAAGAAATCATGGCTCAAATGTAAAGAATAATTAAGCCAAGAATAACTTGTGCCTTACAACTAAGCCATTGTTTACTGATTCACGTGACACAACTATATGGGAAAAAGAGGAAGTGAATTGTGTAAATGTGAGGGGAAGAGAATATACGAGAGTGAAATCATCTTCTATAATAGAGAGTCAATAAATCATATCCAAAATTTTAAAAAATCACAAATAACAGGGATTTAGATTTTGAAAACTGGACAAACTCCTCCAAGGAGGAAGAGCTAAGAGACTTTGGTGTGGGGCTCAAGAGTGGAGGCTGGAAGGGTGGGAGCAACTGGACTTGGGTACTGCTATTTATGTTCTCTTCTGGAAACATTTAAATTCTTAAACATGATGCATACATATCTTCAATAAAATTTAAAATGAAATAGAAACTAACACAAAGGAATGGACTGAGTCAGAGAAAGTTTGAGGAAATGAGATACTACAATACTCCCAAGAAAAATGTAGTTCCCTCGACTAGGATGGATCAGTGGATATTGAAAAAAGTGGTATATTCAAGTTATTGTGGAGGCAAATAGGACTTGGTAAAAATTTGGACTCATACAGTCAGTGTAAGCCAAGGATGAGGTATCCAGAAGTACTAAGATTTCCAGGTTTCCGACTGGAGCAACTGAGACAGGCGTGATGACATTGCTTCAACACTGCTGATAAGCAGTAAATACTCTGAAGATATAAATTATTAACATTTTTGAAACCTAAAATTAAATTATAACTATCAAATTTGATATTACTGAAGGAAAAAATAAAATGAAGCAACTCTATAATAAAAAAATTGCGTGGTACTCAGCCTAGATATATGCTCATTTCACATTATATTCTAGTACAGCCAAAAATATTCAGTGGTAGATAGTACATTAACATAAAAATAACATTATATAATTGTATTAGAAAACATCCACCTCCTAGAAAACATTTTTATTCCTCCTAAAAATCAGTCTTATACAACTATATAAAAATGCCATAGTTTCAGACAAAATTCCTGGATTAAATCCATAAATACCAAAATTTTTAACCAATTAATACAATTTCCAAATTTATACTAATGCTATGATCAAAGTATCTCTATCAAATTGCTGTTAAACTTATTAATCCATTCAATGCAGCCATTTGACAAAAAGTACAAACTAAATTATAGAGCTTTTCACATAAGGCAAATTTCATTTTCCTGCTAAAAGGTTATGCTATAAATAATGAATATCCTTGTGTCTTTTCCTACATTTGTGATCATCTCCTAAAATTTAGTACTGTAAAATCAGTAGGTCAAAGAGTATGAACGTTTTCAAGGCTCTGACATGTAATTGCCACCCTGAAATACTTATTATTTATATTAGCACTACACAACAGTCATACCAAAACTGGGTATATTTAATTATGAATTAAGAAAAAAATTCTTAATTTTTCTTAGAGGGAAGGCAGGGGAGGTAAGAGATCAACCAAAGGATTTGTATGCATGCATATAAGCATAACTAACGGAAACAGACAGCAGTGGGGTGAGGGCCTGTGCTGGAGGCATAAGTGGGCAGGGAGAGGTTATTGGGGGAGAGGGGGAAAGAAGACATATGTAATACTTTTAATAATAAAGAACTAAAAATAAAATAAAGACTAGTTATGTTTGTTAAATAGAGAGAAAATAGGGAGTGGGGCTCTGTGAATCGCCTATGAACCCACCACCCAAAGAAAACCTCTATAATACACATCTTCCCAACCTTCTGGATGAGCTTATGGGACCTGGAATTATATTTCTTTAAAACAGCCATTACACCTGACATGTTCTGTGTGATTTAATCTGAGACTTTTCGCTTTAAAAGTTCTCATCCTGAGAACAGATATCTTAACGGCAGCAATAAAAATAATAATTAACACCAATTTAAAGATGACTATGTGTGAGCCACTATACATACCAACTCATTCGATCCTACCTTCACCTTTATATTACGAATAGAGGCCCCGATGCATGAAATTCATGCCAGAGAGGCCTTCCTTCCCCCCTGCTGCCTGCACCAGCTTCCCTTGCAGCCCTGGCTTCCGTCAGGAAGGTGGTTTGGTCTAATGAGCATATTACCCTTTTATTATTATAGATAGGTAAGGACCTTAGACAAAAGTACTGGTGACTTATGGCTTTATGTTTTACATTTTTCCTCAAATGAAAAATGCCGAGAGGTTTTAAAAAATTTAATTCTTGGAACATTTCCACATCATTAATTTAATGGAAAAATATGTTGCCCCTTTAAGAAGATTTTGTTGGAAGATGGGTAGAGGGTGATGAATGAATCTGTTGTCATATTACTTGGGGAGCAAATGGATTAAAATTCAATTGGAGACCTCCATTAAAAATAAATGTATAATTAGAAAATATGTTTTTTTTTAAAATTACTTAAGATGGTAGTTTCTACTACAGAAAATATTTCCTTTTGAGACAATGTCACATTACTAGTCCATCTAAATCAATAAACCACAAGAACTCCAGAAATGGAGAATAGACTGGTAGTTGCCAGGAGTTAAGGATGCTGGGGTTGGAGTAGAAGTGAGATAGGTATGACTTAAAGGGGAAAGTAGAACAAGGGAGAGATCTTTTCAATAGAATTGTTCCGTATCTCTACTGAGGGGGTGGTTAGACAAATATACACATACTAGAGGCCCGGTGCATGAAAATTCATGCACTGGAGGGGGCATCGCTCAGCTCAGCCTGCCCCCTCTTACAGTCCGGGAGCCCTCAGGGGCAAAGGCAATCAAGGGAAGGCAACGCCCCATCACACTTCTGCTGCTGCCACTGCCGGCAGCACAAGCCTCGGCTGGCCCTGGTTACCTGAGCATCGGGCAGCCTTGGGTGGCTGGGCAGCTGCCATCTGAGTCTTGCCTGTGCCTCGGGCTGGCCCTGCGTGGCTGGGGGACTGAGGGTATTGGGGACTCGGGAGGCAGGCGCCTTGGCTGGGCTGAGGGAACTTGGTATTGCCATCTTGTGACTGTGGGCGCCACCATCTTTGAGGGTGGGGCAGCAATTAGCATATTCCTGCCTTTTTGATGTGGATGCTGCCATTT